CTCCGTGGCGTTCCATCGCCGTTTCCCCATTTTTTCCCCTTTTTCCCCCGTTTTTTCCCGGTTATTCCTGGGATTTTTTTAGGTTTTTTCCCATTTTTTACCACTTTTTTTCCCATTTTTCCCGGAATTTTTTCCCAATTTTCCCATTTTTTCCCGTTTTTCAGGCACCACCGCCACGCTCTCCGCTCCGTTGCGTTCCATCACAGTTTCCTTATTTTTTCCCATTTTTTTTCCATTTTTTCCCCATTTTTCTCCATTTTTCCTGGGATTTTCCCCCATTTTTTCCCATTTTTTCCCATTTTTCCCAGGATTTTTTCCCATTTTTCCCGATTTTCCCATTTTTCCCGTTTTTTCAGGCACCACCGGCGCACTCTTCGCTCCGTGACGTTCCATCGCCATTTCCCCATTTTTCCCCTTTTTTTTCCCCATTTTTTCCCTATTTTTCCCCATTTTTTCATGGATATTTCTGGGGTTTTTTTCCCGGAATTTTTTCCTATTTTTCCCATTTTTTCCCGTTTTTCAGGCACCACCGCCGCTCTCTCCGCTCCGTGACGTTCCATCACTGTTTCCCCATTTTTTCCCCTTTTCCCCCCGTTTTTTCCCGGTTATTCCTGGGATTTTTTTAGTTTTTTTCCCATTTTTTACCACTTTTTTCTATTTTTTCCTGGGATTTTTTTTCCCGGAATTTTTTCCCATTTTTTCCCATTTTCCAGACACCACCACCGCGCTCTCCGCTCTGTGGCGTTCCATCACCGTTTCCTTATTTTTTCCCTTTTTTTCCCATTTTTTTCCCATTTTTTTCCCCATTTTTCTCCATTTTTTTCAGGGATTTTTTCCCGTTTTCCCATTTTTCCATTTTTTTCCAATTTTTTTCCATTTTTCCCATTTTTTCCCCATTTTCAGGCACCACCGCCGCGCTCTCCGCTCCGTGGCGTTCCATCGCCGGTATCCGCTCTTCGCCTCCGCCTCCGACGATGGCACCGTCATCGTCTGCCACGGAATGGTCTACAAGTATGGGATTTATCGGAATTTTGGGATTTTTGGGATTTATGGGAATTTTGAGATTGATGGGATTTATGGGATTGATGGATTAATGGGATTTATGGGATTATGGGATTTGTGGGATTATGGGATTTATGGGATTGATGGGCCCCGACGGCACCGTCATCGTCTGCCACAGCATGGGCTACAAGTACGGGATTTATCGGAATTTTGGGATTTGGGGGATTTTGAGATTTTTGGGATTTTTGGGATTTTTGAGATTTTTGGGGTTTGTGGGATTTATGGGATTGATGGTCACCAACGGCACCGTCATCGTCTGCCACGGCATGGGCTACAAGTACGGGATTTATGGGAATTTGGGGATTTTTGGGATTTATGGGAATTTTGAGATTGATGGGATTTATGGGATTGATGGATTAATGGGGTTTGTGGGATTATGGGATTTATGGGATTTATGGGCACTTGACGGCACCGTCATCGTCTGCCACGGCATGGGCTACAAGTACGGAATTTATGGGAATTTTGGGATTTTGGGGATTTTGGGGATTTTTGGGATTTGGGGGATTTTTTTTTATTTTTGGGGTTTGTGGGATTGATGGGATTGATGGGATTTATGGGATTTTTGGGGTTTATGGGCACTGACGGCACCGTCATCGTCTGCCACGGCATGGGCTACAAGTACGGGATTATGGGAATTTTGAGATTTATGGGAATTTTGGGATTTTTGGGAATTTTGGGATTTTTAGGGTTTGTGGGATTTTTGGGATTTATGGGATTTGTGGGATTGATGGGATTTGTGGGATTTATGGGATTGATCGGCACCGTCATCGTCTGCCACGGCATGGGCTACAAGTACGGGATTTATCGGAATTTTGGGGGAATTTGGGGATTTTTGGGGTTTATGGGATTTTTGGGATTTTTTTGATTTATGGGATTTGTGGGAATTTTGGGCATTTTGGGATTTATGGTCACCGACAGCACCGTCATCGTCTGCCACGGAATGGTCTACAAGTATGGGATTTATCGGAATTTTGGGATTTTTGGGATTTTGGGGATTTTTGGGATTTTTTTGATTTTTGGGATTTATGGGATTGATGGGATTTATGGGCACCAACGGCACCGTCATCGTCTGCCACGGCATGGGCTACAAGTACGGGATTATGGCAATTTTGGGATTTATGGGATTTTTTTTGGTTTTTGGGGATTTTTGGGATTTTTGGGGTTGGTGGGATTTTTGGGATTTATGGGCACCGACGGCACCGTCATCGTCTGCCACGGCATGGGCTACAAGTACGGGATTATGGCAATTTTGAGATTTATGGGAATTTTGGGATTTTGGGGATTTTTGGGATTTTTAGGGTTTGTGGGATTTTTGGGATTTGTGGGATTGATGGGATTTGTGGGATTTGTGGGATTGATCGGCACCGTCATCGTCTGCCACGGCATGGGCTACAAGTACGGGATTTATAGGAATTTTGGGGGAATTTGGGGATTTTTGGGGTTTATGGGATTTTTGGGATTTTTTTGATTTATGGGATTTGTGGGATTTATGGGATTTTTGGGGTTTATGGTCACCAACGGCACCGTCATCGTCTGCCACGGCATAGGCTACAAGTATGGATTTATGGGAATTATTTTGGGATTTTGGGAATTTTGGGGATTTTGGGGATTTTTTTGATTTTTGGGGTTTGTAGGATTTATGGGATTTGTGGGATTTTTGGGGTTTATGGGATTGGTGGGCGCCGATGGCACCGTCATCATCTGCCACGGCATGGGCTACAAGTATGGAATTTATGGGAATTTTGGGATTTATGGGATTTTTTTTGATTTTTGGGGTTTGTGGGATTTATGGG